GGGCCAGGTTGTATGGGGCTTTGAGCAACCTGGTCTAGTGGGAGACATTCCTGCCCACAGCAGGGGGGTTGGACCTAGATGATCTTAAATGTCTCTTCCAACCCAAACTGTTCCATGATTCTATGAATAACTGGAAAAGAAGGGGTACAGATGAAGAAAAAAGATAGAAAACAACAATATTGAGAAGAGACAAACATTGCAATACATGTACAACTAAGAAAGCTCAACTTGTCAAATATCGAAAAAGATATGATGAGTGAGAAGGAAAGAAGATATTAGTCCAAAAGACAAACAAACAAAACCAACCCCAAAGTGGCACAGAAAGCCTACAGGCACTGATTGTTCATGGTGTCTTTCAACCCCTCATGAGTTAAAGCAATCAGCAAGAAAACAGGTAGGTACAACTTTCCTCACCCACCAAATTATCCTTTACACGCTGCACAGTTAAGCTGCAGAACAACTTGTTAGACAATGCTTCATTATTAGAACTGAATACATGGGCTCATGTGGAAGCTCAACAAGTTGACTGAGAAGTCTATTAAGATACACATGATCCAGGTTTGTGTCTGGGAGACCCTGAGATGCAAGCAGTTAGAAGCTAGTAGAGCACTTGAAGGGTAAGTTTCCTTTATGTCTGCCCTGTTCCTCTACTCTTCCCTAAGCCAATAGGAAAGAGTTAAGAAGAGATTATATCTACTATCTTTCTCACAGTACATACATATATATATAGTTCTACATCTATTAGAGTGACAGATCTTTTCTATGCATGCGTGTACAAATAAAGTGGGAATCAGCATAAGCATACCCAAACCCCATTTTCAATACAAGCTTTTAAACTATGTATTTGAAACTTCATCACCATATTTATTAATTCCAGAAAACGACTAGAGGTGAGTGTTGCACATGCCCCACACACAGGCAAATCGATTAAACCAGGTTTGAGGAACTGCTTTTTCTACTATCTGTCTTGACTTCTCCTAAGGAATTAACATTAACAGAATATTACCTCCTCGTCTATTTTTTCTTCCTCTGCATCAGTGCGACGCTCCTTAAGAAACCTCTGTGTTTTTTCTAGTTGAAATTTCACCAACTCTTCTATGGCATCTTTTTCCTCTTTGTCCACAAACTCCTGCACTGCTTCTCCCATTCCTCTTTCAGTTAGAAGTGAAAGCTGTACTTTCTTTATAATCGGGGAAAACATTTTGTTAAGAAGCATCTGCCATCAAAGAAAGTGAGTAGTATTCCTCTGTTTCAGGTAAATGTTACATTAAGTTGGTTCCAAAAACACTAACGTGCATTGAAGACTTCCATCAGAGAAAAGTACAGCAATAAGCAAACATGTTACTCGTCATAATACAGTTAAAACCCTTTTGCTACTAGCATGTTACATTGCTTAACAGAGTATTTTCCAGACTTGTCAGAGAAGCGAGTTTCATAAACAGTAAAGAAACTACAGTGCTAGTCATATCTAAAATGATTTGTCTGAAATGTCTTGCTTAGAGAGGAGAGAAGGTAAACTGTACTCTTTCTTACTTCCCCTCCCTTTTTTAAACTGCAGTTAAGATCAACTTGCAGAGGCATAAAAATGCTATTGAAAACAGATGCTGAATTATTATAGATGCTAAATTACTTAGTTTTACCATAAAATCCTAACATTAAAAAATGGCAGTTACAGAGCAGGGCAAATTATTACTATGAGGCATTAAGAGCTATTAAGCAGAAGTTTACTCTATTGAAATGCGATTCTGTAAATACCAATAGCTCTCACATATTCATCAAGTGAGATGATATTCATCAAGATATTCTATGTGAAGATATTACTACGGACACTAATTAGTAGAAGTAGTAGATGCTACTGGTGATGTTTTGCAGCCATTCTCTTCTCTACCCTCCTTCCCAATACGGGAAGAAGATATTCTGCGAATGAAACCCCCATATGGACAGTAATGTTTAAATAGCAGCCTCTTTTGTCTGTAAACTACAGCACAGATAACTTCTCAGTAATAAGCATCATATATGCTTATTAATGATTTTTGATCCTTCCAGGTGTCCTTTAGGAACCGTTCTGAGGGTTGCATCAGAAGCACAAAACCTTCCCTGAAATTAGGCTGCGCATAGGAATAAATTCTACAGGTATTACAAAATAAGTTGTTTTTTTGTAAACAAGATAAGCATCTCAATAGAGTGTCTGATTGTAATGATGTGGAATGTTCATGCTGACTTTCAGCAAAGCAAATTAAAGCAAATTAAGCTTTATTCCAAAGGAAAAAAAAAAAAAAAAAAGCTTACTAAAGAGACAAATAGCAGTGATTTTAATTCCCAGGCCTCAGCTGACCAGCAACACTGGAACTGAACAGAGTCTGGTACTTGTTAGATATTTTTGGTCTAACATTTTTTGAACATCCAGCTACAGCCCCGTGCCACCTCAGAGTCCAAGGACTCTTTTGTTTCCATAATCAGACAAGATCAGGTGTCTAGCAAAGCCTGAAGCACAAGCTATCTTAACACAACGTTTAGGATCCCCATCATCATTTTGGGACACAATATGCTTTTCCTCCTTCCTTCTTTCATTACCAGTGTTAACTTAAAACGTATTATCCCACTACTGCAAGTCTTCCCAGGACACTGATGGATTCTTTCAAGTCTTTACAGATGTTGAGCTGCTGAAGCAGGCCTCAAATGCAGGGACCAGTAACTGAGCTGTTCATACAAGAACATACGAACAAGTTGGGAATATGGTGTAACAGGGACAATTTTGCAGAGTAAGGCAGGAAAAGAGATTAAAAGCAAAATTTATTTTTCATAGAATAATACAGTGCCCTGTCTTTGACATTGCTACCCCCCCCCCATGGGATTTAGGAGTGGCATACATTTGAAGAAGTACCTACTTCTGAACTAGTCACCCTGGGCTCCCTGTCACATTCAGAAGGCAAATAGCCCTTCCAGGACACGATTTATGCCATCCTAATTCTGACACCTAACATGTGTCTAACGTTAGGCAAGATGATATAATTTGGGGGATCTTTACCTCAGGGATCCTTGTTCTAAGGACTTTCTATAAAGCATGTTCTGAAGTAGCTTCTAAAAGTTCTGCTTAATCATCTAGATCAAGCATTTGGGTGTCTGACCCACTGATTGTTATTTTTTACCTCCGAGACATTACTGCCCTGGTGTTGGGAAGGGGAAATAAATCAGGTTTAATGAAAGGGTGGGGAGAAAACAAACTACTGGGGGGGTGGGGTGGGGTGTCTCTTCCTTCTGCCTGCTCTGCTTTAAATATAATTTCGAATTGCACTAATTCTGAGGACACAAATATACTGCAAAGTAACAACTTACTCCAGGTCAGCTGGTAATAGTAAATGGTACAGTCTCACATTACCCTATAGTAAATTAAGGTAGCTTCTCACTCAGAGCATGTTGCCTCACATTTTCCTCCTCTAAGAACATGACACATCATTTAGTACCGGGCAGACGCTGCAAGTTCACATGAAGAGTTATCATAACATTCTCAAACCAGCATGTGTTCATGTACCCTATACAACCTATATATAACAGTTACTTGTTAACCTAAGACATATACTTCATACAGGAATTAATGTACAGTTATATAGGAAATAAATTCACTTCTTGGTGAACATCAAGAGTCTTTTCAGGGCACACTACTTCCATTAAGAAAGCAAAAAAAGATGAAAATATTATATTCCATTAAAAAAAAGAAATCATAAAAGGTAGAAAGATACCTTCTCCGCTGTCTGAAAATACTGCTTTACAAGGTCTTCCACTCTCAGTGTCATCCCCTCAGAAGCAGGTCTGCTAACCAGTTTTCCAAAATTAAAATCACTGTCTAGAATAGAAAAGCACAGTGGCACTGTCACCCACGTTTGCAGCTTTTAATTATTATCATTCCACGGACAGTAATAGGAAAAAATGTTAATATAGGCCTCTTAAGAATTGTGGTGCCTTTTATATGTAAAGGTTTTTTGTTCTAACTGTACAGTCTATTGTCTGGAAATACAGGTAAACATAACAGATGCGATAATTGTACAAGACAACTCCACCTCTAGCAGGTACAAAGTGTTCTTCTAATTAGCAAATGTCTGCAATTATAAATTGAACGCTATGTGCTGAAGGTTATTATAATTGACCTCTGGAAGATCACAAACAGAAGAAAATCAAAGGACCCACCAAAGCACAAGGGGTTTTTTACAAGTTACTGTTACTAGAGAAGAAATTTTCCTCCAAAGCACGCTGACTGATTTTCAGTAGAAAATGTTCATAGCTCCCTTCCTAAAGCCGAGATGCACGTTAAGTAGGAAAATTAGATGTGGTAGCTATCTTGTATTCCAAAAATGTTAATGAGATTACATAACTATTAAAAAAAAAGCAAAATAAAACCAGATCAATACAGCATAATTAAAAAAACCCTCACTAAAAGCAGTTTTTATTCATGAAACATGATGTTTTGAACTTTATAAAACTGACAGTGTAAGTAAAAACTGACAGTGGAATTGGAGTACTTACAATGCACTAATGTGAAATATTAACAGTTCTTTAGCACAGTATGTTCTTGTGCAAGCTGTATCTTCATTAGCGACTATTACAAATCCAGTATTTGGGCAACATATATTAACCATTTATTAAAAATTCTAGGCACAGTGATAAATGCTACAACAGTAACAGCTATTATTTGTTTTGCACAAATGCTTGAACAGAGACATACCTGGAACAGACAAGCCAAGGGTACCTTATACATGTGACTAATTAGGGCAAACAAAACGCTGATGCTGTTGTGCATTTGGACCCTTTTTTTTTTTTTTTTTTTAAAATATACAAACATCTCTCAAGCCCATCCCCTCAATTACTATTTTAGGTATAAATGAATTACTACACGAACAAAATTAAAAAACAAAGGGAAAAAGCACAGCACCCATCTCATTTCCTGCAGAGTGCCCCAAAGCAACCACATCATTCTGAGAAGTCTTAGGAGTGAGATGTTTAATGCCTTTTTATGGTAATTATCATAGAATCATGGAGTAACGCAGTCTGCTATGGGCTATATGTATTACTATAAGCAACTCAATAAGGTTTGAGGCCAAAGAAAAAGGAATTATTTATGAATAACTGTCAGAAGATGCTGTGCTGAATATCAGAATTTTAGAGAAACCCAGAAATAGAATAGAAATACTTGTGCAATACATACACTTAAATGAGACTATGCATCTTTACTCCTCCTGTAACACATTAGATGGTAGACACCTAGCCTTTGCAAGTACTGGGTAACAAAATAAAGGAAGAACAAAAATGAAGGCAAGCCAATGATTCCTTGCTTTATAATTACCATTTTTCTCTTTTTGTTCACGATGCCTGAAAAAGTGTATGATGTCTTTTGGGTTAGCCACCCTATCCATGTACTTCTGGCTAAAACGATGGACACTGAATGGTTCAAAGCCACCTGTATAATCAACCTAAGAGAGAAGAGGAAAAATTTAAATATGAAACAAACAGAAATAGAGAAGGCACACAAATCAAGGTGAGTTTGTTACCCTTCAAAGGAAAAACTGAAGTAAAAAAATACGTCAACCTAAAATTAATGCTTTACCATACTATGCAGAAGACTTAATGGATAATAATAGCTAATAACAACAGAATAGCTAATAACAGCCCAGATTCATAACTTGTTCCTAACTTGTTTCATTTACTAGTCTTCAGGAAAGTTTCCATAAATTAGGTTAGGAACAATCATAGGATAATATGACTTAAGAAAAACTTCTCTATAAATAGCCACTTTTGATGCCCACCAGCAGTGAAGTACAAACTTGTGACCAATCTCATCCTTTACCACAGAACAGTAACCATAGGTAAACAGAATCATGGTATAAAGGCGATTTATATTTGCCTGTACACAGTAAGAAATTTTATGTATTTTGTGTTTATACAAAAAGTATGACTTTGCTATGAAACTTTTCACTGCGACCTTTCAAAACAAATCAATCCAAACCGAACAATTTCTTACTCGTAATCTTATGAGAGGTTTCTCTGGCTGGCGTGGATTTCCCAAGCGTTCTCTTTCTGCATTGTCCAGCATCAATTCAACCTGTGAAGCAGAATTAGAAATTCAGTTCCATTTTGTTCTCTTACAGATGCCTGAACCCTTCAAATATAACTTCAAATACATCCAGCTACAGGGGGAAGCTATAAAAATAAATAATTATAGGATGTGCTCTCATTCCTGAGCACACATATGTACCCATATCCAGCCAGAAGTCATAAGAATGAATGAGAAAAAAGTCACAATGAAAGGCTTAACTTTCAGATATAGCGTAGTCCAGCAATATCTACATCACCTATCACTCATACTATTTTACTTTATAGCCATTATCCTTTGCTAAATTTCTAGTTCCAGGGAAAAGCAGGAAGAGACTTATACAGACCTAAGAACCAAGAGCAATTAATAAACCTGCTCAGTTACTTCTGCCACTTCACACTGCACAGCCCAGCTGCCAAGGTTTAGGTGCATGTATTTATGCTGGTTCCAAAGTGCCCATCCAACATTGCCCCACACTTAGGTGGGAGTTTTTTGTACAAAGATGGTATGGACGCCCATAAAGCAGTTCCAGCCTACTTTAGTAGGTCATCCCAGCCAAGGAATCTGGAAGCCAAGGCTGCAGTGAATGTCATGGAATTAGCTTCCTGTGGAAACACTGCCTAAGTCCATCTCAAAATTTCTCATCTTCCAGTCTCAAAACCAATCACAGATCCCATTCCCTGTCCATACGCTGTCATCCATCTACTGTTAGCATTACAAGTTACCTTTTCCATGCAGAATGCTTGTATTGCCTGAGTTACTTTAGGATTGTCGGGATTAAAAAGGTCTGGATGATCAGCTAGAACAACATCCTCCATGTGGAAAGTTCGCACTGTCTCTAGAGCAATCTTCTGTATTTTCATTTTTTTCCCTCTAACATGCAGCAAACCAATGTGTCTAGAAGGAGAAAGGTAACTTACTAGAAGATAAACTTAAGAGAACTATGGTATAAAGATTTGTTTTAAATTCATGTTTACTTTTCAGGGACAAAAGTTTAAAAGCTATAGCAAGTTCTTGCATCTATACTTCAGGGTTGGCCATGCCAAACTTCAGTTCTATTATATTTAGATTGTGCTTGTTCCATACACAAGCACATGTACACAGTTCCTTGTATTCCAATTTATCAGCGTGTAACTCCTCTTAGATAAGTTCCATTTGCTTCAAATATTAGGTCTAATCCTAAGTAAAGCAAAAGTTATTTTAGGCACTGATTCCATCTACTTCATGTGTTATGTGACACTCTGAAGCTAATACACATTACAACACAAGTCCTTTCATACTTAATAGAAGTATTTTTTCCTTTCTCAACACAACGCATGAGAGACAAAAAGAGAGACAAGAACAAAAAGAAAATATCACACACTTCTTCACAGCTTCTCCAGGGGACAGAGACGTCACCACTGAACTTCCTGGCTGAGAAACATAGAAACATTGCTGTTCGTTTTGGGATGGAGCTATTTTGCACTCATGTTCATGACCCCACACAACAAGATTAATAAAGTCATCTAAAAACTGCTCTGGAATGTAGTTGGTAGCTCCATGTTTGCTCCTGTTCAAGAAAAGAAAAAAAATAATTAGAATGTGTACAGTCATGGGTGGGCAAGGGGGGAGTGGAGGAGGACAAAAACATCAGTGTGATTTAAAGCGATACAGAAACTCCAGCAAAAATATCTGATGTACAGCTCATATCAAGTACTCTTCACATTTATTCCTTACGCAATTGTTTAAAGTGTTTGGTTAAATAAAAAGGCAACTTACACAGCTCATTCTTTTCTGCTCCCCTCCTTTTATTTGGATCTCCGTTTCATTCTTATTTGGCTTGCAAGACTTTAGGGTTTTTTCCATATGAATGCTTTTATAGCACCTCATGGCCTTTTTGGTTTTGTTTTTTTGGTTTGTGGGATTCTTTTTCGGGGGAGGGGTACAAATGGTGGGGTAAAACCCACTGAATTAAACAGACATGGGACACACCACTCCCCATCCCTTTCCAGAAGGTAGAGAAGATGGAGGAGGAGTGATCTCCTTCAGCCTGGTGAACAGAGATCTGTACACAGGGTTATCTGAGCTGTATTTGTTTACTTCTGTCTCACCATTACATGCACATGAGGATTGCACTCTCATTCAGGAAAAATCGTAAGAAAGGATTTGGAAAATAATTCTGCCTGTTCCTACTACCACTGCTGGCAGAAGTGTGTAGGCAGAAAGAACATGTGCTACCTACCTATCCTCTATTCAAGAGAAACCATAAAGTACAGCAGTGCAAGTGAAGATACGGTACTTGTCAAATTATGGTTCAAACAAGGACAGAAAATACGATATGAAGTTTAATGCTCCTTCTGCTCTAACAACCAGAAAAGACTTAACTATATGCATATTACACTACAAACCCCCCACTGCCCCTAACTATAAGAGATTTCCCAACATTCCTAACTCATTTATTTCAACTCTTTTCCTTTATGATTCTTCTCTAAGAAGAGCTGTAAAACAATGCTTTCATTCGGGAAAAATCTTAAGAAACTGGCTGCTCACAAGAAGCACCAACTAGCACAGCTCCTATCCTTTTCAAGGCAGTTTAATGAAGTAACACAGTAAGTATAAAAGTCACCGTAATTCATTCAATACTGTTACCTATTTTGATGAATCACAAACAAGTTAAACCAACTATCTTCATCTTCCTTTGGTCTCAGCATTGTTACTTGTTTATTGACAAACATACGATACAACCTCTCATCTGGAATAGCTCCTGGAGCAGACAAAACAAAACATTAAATAATTTTTGTCTGGTAAACCAACTCTTTATTCTATAGCATTTTTATTAGCAACTCTATTAAAAAGAGCATGAAGAAGGACACTTCGTGGCAAGATCAGATCTTCATTTTCATGACCTAAGAAGTCTGAGGCATGACTATGAATCTGAACAGATCAAAGTATAAACTTGGCTATTTTACTAGGTAAACTTCTGAAAATAAGACATTTTAACATGAAATCTGCCTTTAAACAACTGCTAAAAGCAGTTTCATTAACTACATCTGGTTTGAGACCTATTGCCAGTTTTCTGTGCCAAACAAGTGCCTATGGGCAGAATTAAAAACAAGAGAAGAGGTGTTTTATTTCTTGTTGACAGAGTAAGAAGTATATTTTGTTGTAAGGTGGCATCTAAAAACAGGTACTACTGAGTAAAGATGGGGTTCTTAAACATACTTTGAAATTCACTACAAAACAAGAAATAAACCATGAATTCATGATGCATTTCAATAAAATCCCATACGGAGTTTACATATTTTGTATAAGAACAAGTGGTCTCTAAATCAGAGAAAGTCAAGAGGATATATAATCCTGGCACAAGCTCAAAGACACATCTCACGAACATTTTCATGCAGCAACACCTGTACTTTAGAAAGCTGTTGCATTTCCCAGTAATGATTTTGGGTATTAAAAATTCAAACACTTTCTGAAAACTTTAATATTGTGGTATTAGAACTCTCACCACTAACCCTCAGAACATCTAGGAAGCTTTTAAAGTATCTCATTAAACACATGAAATCACGGCAAACTAGGACTTAACTTATAGCTATAAAAGTTGCTTGGAAATAAGCACTCGTGACTGGACATAAGGGGAAAAAATTAAGATCTTAACAGTTAACTTCTCTACACAGAAAGCAGTCAAACACAACCATTCTAAGTAAGAAATGAGGGTAGAGGGGAAGGTAGGAGGAGAAAATAGAAAGGACAAACTTAAGTTGAAAACCCACCATAGAACACCTTTAAAATACGAAACTCTTCATAAGTTTCTTTAAAGAAACTGAGGTTACTTGTGAGAGATGTTACTCACGAACCACTTCAGACAAGACATGTCAGACATCAGGTTTCTGCTCAGACAGTTTATGTTTTTAAATATAACCAAAATGGCACATGAACATGCAATGTTTAAGTTTTACCTAAACAGGAGGAAGTAAGCTTAATACACAACAGCGAGAATTTAAGAGCGATTACTCTGACTCAATACACAAGCGCTATCTGTGGCTAACTTAAGCAGGGTTTAAGACCAATAAAAGTATAAAACTATTGAAGGATTTATTTTAAAATAAAATAAAATAAAAAAAAAAAAGCAGAGAAGAAAACCTGTCAGCCAGTGACAATGCAGCAGGAGGAGAAACCTGACACTGTCACAGAATTGATACGCTTTAGGATTGCTTAGACCTTCGTGGTTGTTGTAGCACTGTATGTTTGTTCCAACTTAATTTAGACCCACTGAGCTTCAGTAATTCGTGAACAGTCTAGCCAGTCTGGCAGACTAATACTTACCCAAGCCATACAGAGCAATTTTTGTTCTACCTTTACGCAATAAAATGGGACTAATATCTATTTTCTCCACGGAAGCTGAACGTCCAAAGTGATTCAACAATCCTGCACAGCTTAAAATATCCAATGCACACAGTGCATCTGCCTGTAGAAAATATTAAGAAACAAATATAAAAACTTTGAACAGAACATTTAGTCTTTAAACTCTAAGTGAAACAGTTTCAAAAGGGAGAGAGGAATAGCTTTCCTCAAGTAACTTCTGCAGTTGAAAAACCCCACCACATATACTAGCTTTTTTTTGTAGCGCTTACGGGTACAGAAGCAAATCCCTTTTCCTTACAAGTCTTGCTTCATTTGAACAACATGAAATTAAACATTAAATCTTTCAGAAAAGCAAAACAAACCAACCAAACAAAAAAACCCAAACAGCCAAAGTCTCTAAACTACTACAGAAAATTATCTGGTTAAGCTAACTACTTCATAGCAGGTCCAAAGTTAAGCCTCTGTTGTTAAAACACTCATCTCCATGATACACTGCTATTTGATATAAAATGCAAAATTATTAATTCAACACACATGCCTTGATGCTTTCTGATTGTCCTTTTCCTGCTTACTTTTAGTTCTTGATTTTTAAACTAGCATTTCATCATTATTAGATTATCTTCCTTGAAAATATAAGATGCATATCAGTTGCATATGCACAAGTCAAAGTATCAAAATTCTCCTTCTTTAAGAAAAAAGCTTTCAGTCTCTACAGATAGAATTTGTTTTAGAAACTTTCTGGAAGGCTGCCATTTGTTGGCATGAAAAGTGATTCTGTTCTCAATGACAGAATTTAAACATAGTTCATACCGATCCCTTAACTTCTTTCCATTCTCTTTTTTAGTGTCACACTTGTTGTCACTGACTAACAGAATTCCTAAAGATACACAAAATATTTACATGAAGAGTGGAGCAACCAACTAAAATCAGCCTGTCATCCAAGAACTGTATTTCTATACAAGTCTCTCTTTCCAGAACATTAATTTTGTAACATAACAGTATAGTACAATTATGATAATAATTACCCCTGTGGGATCATCATGATTGCCATGAATACTAAAAATTGGAATAGAAATGTTGAGATTTACATCCTGATAATTCACCCATGGAAACCTGAAGCGGAAAAAAAAAAGTTAAACTATACCTGCAAATTTGTGGACAATTCCCAATACTCTCCTCAAAGTAACGTCATCACAAATGCATCGCGACAGCAGCACAAGTGAGTACTAAGTGGTTATGAATAGGCTTAAGCTGCACAGGTAAGAAGATTCTTACTCTTGTACTGGAATGGCACTTCCTACTGGGAACAGGGTAGCAAAAACATCCTATTTTTTTAGAGCAAGCCTATGAAAAGAATTGTACAACACGTTGCGTGGTATGTGCAAGAGCAACAGACTGAGCTGTGCAACCTTGTTTACACACAGAGAACTCTGCTGATTTTACCACAGCAATTCATGTAAATTGGTTTACTTGCATTGTACTTGCAGGATAGAAACTACATATTACATAAAGGTATCAAATGTCACAACACATTCAGAAGTTTCTCAAAAAATTCCGTGCATTCCTTTGTAGACTTACATTATAAAAGATGATAGGTGAAGTCACCTTGTAAACTGTCCCACACAAACAGGCCTAAAACCTCACGGTTCCAGTCACAGAGGACATAAATCATAAAAATCACAAGACGTTCACCCAAGACGCTAACCAAACCTTACACCATAATTTACAAGAGCATACTTACTTGCTATAATGAAAATTAACTGCCTGATCACTCAAAATTTCAAACTGAACAGGACGATCACCCATGCAGTATTTTCTTAGTGACTCCAAACAGGAGTGTATTGTTTTTCTGGAAGGTTTGTTTTCATGAAAAAGGTCCCCACCTAATAAAACAAAGTCCACCTGTATATAACAAAAAGCTCTATTATTTTAAGACAACATTCTGTATTGGCTTGAAAGATTTCTAAATAAAGTGTTTAAATTATTTCTTCTAAGGAGTTCTACATATCTCCTCATACCTGGACTTCTAGGTAAAACTAGTTGGTAGTCGCAGACACGGTATTTAATTTCCTCATGAAACAAACATTAACTAAATTATTAATTAAACCAAAACCAAATCCAAAAAGACCCACTTTTGAATAGCTATAGGAGAAAACAACTGATAGTGTTGAAAAAAAATACTGGTGAAGTGTTTTGATAAGGGTCTCCAGATTGGCTCCTGAGTATTTTCTTTGACAGGCATGAAGAGATACATTATCTTTTCATTGCTGAGGTACCTAGTGGGAAGATATCAGTAGCTATTGCCACATTACTTTGAGGAAGTACTAGTTGCAGTGTCTGTATATATTTAGCTTTTGAAAAAGCATTAGGGGAAAAAAAAAATCTTCATCAAAATTGCAAGTAATTTGACTAAGAAACATTCAATGCTTTAAAACAGAATGAACACTTTAAAAGTTTCTAACTTTTTTTTCTACTTTGAGTTGTCTGAAGACTTTGTATCATTACCCTCACTCTCCCTCATTATTTCTCCTTCTTGCAGCGATGAACACTCTCTAAATACCACTTGAACTGATGCAGGCAATCCGGAAGCACCGTTAATGCAACCAGGGTCATAATTTAATAAGAACACTCTCACAAAGGAATAGGCATTCCTTTTACTAAAACAGAAACGTAACTGGTTGCTATAAATAATTTAGTTTAGTAATTTAATTTGGTATTACTGAAGACTGCACCAGGACTAAGCTTTATAGCTTCTGGCAGGCTGGAATGTATTTTCCACAGTCTAACTTCTTCACTTTCCAAAAAGCAGCACTTACTTCGTTTTTTTGAGCATGGTCCAGAATTTCATTAAAAGTTACAAATGTATCATTTCCACGAACTGGATCCTTCTCCAAATAGCCAAGATGAATATCAGTAGCAAGAAGTATTTTAAAGGTATCTTCATCATCCCTGAATAAGACAGGAAAATTTGTGTTAGAGAGCAATATACTTACGAATTTCAACACAGGCTTTATCAAAGTAAGCTGTTCTGTCATTAAATACACAGGAGATTTGTTATAAAACTCTGTTAAAATACCATTCCTGTAATATTCTCAAAACATTTCACTACTTCTATTGCAAATAGCACTTCACCAAACCAACTAATTTGAAGATTTGGTTATCCCAATCAGTCTACTCTAGTAAAGGGCTGCAACCACCTCTCTGAAGTAGCTAGTGAAAAACTAAAGAATCCTTTGTACGTCTTCTACCTTTAAAAAGACTTGGTGAACAAACATTCAATTTCTCTTTTTGCACCGGTAATCTATGTATATATGAAAGCAAGTGCGACGATTGTAAGGACCTGAGGGAAAACACAAATGATGATCTGAGTTCTTAACGCATCCCAAATATACAAAAGACTTGCTGTTCTGGTGTGACCGAACCGCTGCAGACAACAGGAGCTTACTGTGAGTCGACGGTACTCATCTTCGTGCCAAGACTCCTCACAAAAAGGCTCTGGACGCAGCTCAGCAAGTCAGCTCAGGAAATCAGTTTCTCTTTTCATAGATGCTACGTAAATCCTGAGGAACCAAACCGGAAACGAATTAGAAAAAAGGACCCGAAGGAGCAGTCACCCAGTCTTTTACCGGTAATTGTCGCTTGCAAACCCCCCCC